TTTGGGGTGGATGGGGGCGACATGGAGAAGTTGTGCTTTATGCAGAAGTTGGCCAAATTCCTGCTTGCAGTGGAAAGGTTTTGTCCCCAACGGCCTTCCCCGCCAGAACCGACGCCAACCATACAGGTCCAAGAATAGTCCTCTCTCCCCCCTCTCAGCTTCATCTCCCCTCTATATTTTTTTGTTGACCTCACGCCGAATGTGCTTCCCACCTGAGAGATCTAAGACCAATGGGGCGAGTAGGCTTTCCCGGTCCCCGTTGAGAGCACTGAGCCGACCGATCCTCCAGCGCATGTTTCCTCACTGGACCGGCACAACGAATCAGAGAACAAAATACCAAAAGCAACAAAACGCAAAACAAAAATACCAAAAATAACACAACAAAAAACAAAAAACACCAAAAATAACAAAATACATAACAAAACAAAGGGACCTCCTTCCACATAGAAAATATGCAATAACGAACGTGCTCTACGATGGTGGCTGATGGAGCGGGGCCATCGACGAGAGTCGTGAAGACACGAGGAAGAAAAAAAAAGCGCAAAGACGAAGTATGGAAACCAAACTCCAAAATTTCATGTGGCATATAAGCGGCCAAAAGTCGGAGAAAATTTCCCAGACGATGTCCGGTACTGTACATTGTGTCCGTGTCTAAAAGTCGTGGACAAGAAGACAAAAAAAATACCATGCGTTTCAAAGCATTAGCAAAACGACTTTTATCTATTTTTTCCCAAAAAGTTGCCCAATAAGGGGATATTTTTCTGGCACGACTGAGAATCACGATTCCGGAAGGTAGAAAAAAAAAGACTCCTTTAACACACATTATTGCACTACCTTTTCCGAAAAATCTTAGGCGTGATGAATGCATGAAAGTACAACCAAACCATGGAGCAGGACACTCAAGCCACCATAGGCAAATAATTTAAAGAAATTTCCATGCTTCAAATAACAGGAAAAAAGGACATAAATACACCACAGAAAAATTAGCTCAAAAAACGTTAAAACCTTGCAGAAAAATTCCGCAGTAAACAAAGAAAGGTAAGGAAAAGTTGGGAAGCCGGCAGAAAGTCTACCACCAATAAAGAAACCGGTGGCAACGCATGTCACAATTTTTCCGCGGTGCAGAACTCACAAACCTTATCAAATTCCTGAAGTTTCCAGTTTTCGCTCGCTATTGGCAGAGTTATAAAAAAAAGTCATCTCGTTGTCAGGAAATCAGAACTTTGAATACTTGCCAAGTTCCTCCGAGGCTTCTTGAAGAATACAAAAACAACAATCTTGGTGAGAATCTGCCCGGTTCAAAAATTTAAGCCGCAAATGAATATCGCAAGTTTACTTTTTGCAACGAGCAGAGTAACACCTCAAATAAATCATCCAGTGGATTAGGACTTGCCGTTTGGCAAATCATTTGGGACATCTCCTTCTCTAATTTATTTTAACGAATGTGTGTCATACCGTTTGGTTAGACGACTCTGAGAGCCATCATTAGAATAAAATGCATCAATACGAAAATACATGACGCCAACTGGCCCCCGGAGAAGATTAAAACACAAGAAAAGTCACCACCACCCAAGCTACAGGAACAACCGCACCACCGTGAGGGAAGACAGCGCAATAGAAACTCCAGGAAGGGACTTAACATAGCAATTTAACGCTGGAAAAGCTTTGATGAAATAATAATCTCGTGTTTCCTCTTTTTTCCCCCGCTTTGATTTAACGATGTGCCGGGATCAAACGATAACTCAGAGAAGCACCGCGCATACTTTCGATATGACCAAACCGCTTTGTATTCAGTTATCCCGCATTCCATGAGCAAGCATATCCTGTGCCGTTGCCTTTTGTGTTGTCACCGTCCTTATAGGCCATCCAGGTAGCAACAGGCTGCGCCACCCAATCTTATCCATGATGGTGAAGGTTGGCATTTTTGACGCATGGAAAATGCAGGCGCAGGCGTGTGCTAAGGCTGCCTTTCTTGCCCCCCAACCCAAATGAAAGTTGAGAGAAAAATAATAAAACCAAAAAGTATTTTTTCTTCCACGAGCAATTTTGCGACCTGCTGTCGCCACCCGGAGGATGAAGGAGGAAATGTATTTGCGCATGTCTGCTTTGTTGGGGCAGATTGTGTGGGGCCCAGCTGTGGGGAAGCCCGGCCATACCCACTAAAAACACCTGATCATGGCGATCTTTTCACCCACGGGCACGGGCGACACCAGCAGCACGGTGTCCCAAGGAGTGGTCTCCGGTTAGGCCCTCCGCTTGATCCCTGGAGAGCCAGGTCGCGTTGTATCCCGACCATGGCGCACCTCCCAGGAGAACTATAGCGTATGACATTGGATTCCCCAGTCTGGGAAACCGGGCGCTCGACCGTGAAACTTATTGTTTGGTGGCGTGTATTTTCCATGCGCTGTCTCCGTTAAGGCACTTTACCCATTACAAAACGCGCCTTATTTGCAAGGGGCTTAACTGCGCTATCCCAATAAGTAGCGACCGTATCGCGGTGTAGCCCGAATTAAGCCGAATGCGGTGCTGCGAGTGTGGAAATTTAGCTTCCCCAGTAATAAACGTGGTGCCGCACCTTGGCGTCACGATGGGGCATTTCCACGATACCAGGGCAATCCATTTATAGCGTACCAAATTCGTAATCTAGCCGCCTATGGCCCGCCGGTGGTAAAGGATGTGTGGGAATTTGTGGTGGTGGTAAAAACTTGCGATTGTTGTTAATATTATAAAGGTTATGGCCTTACCCCGTCCCGCGCTCGAAAGCTTTTAATGGGGGAGAAGGTGGCCGAAAAAAAAAACATTTACCCCAACATATGTACTGGGAAACGTTTGGAGACACAGTCCTCTCAGAAGCTTCTAAAAATAGGTGTCTAAAAACCGAGGCGCTCCCCAAGGGCACCGGGTACGTCAGAATTCTAAACGGCTGACTTTACACAGGGGTTTGGGTGAAAAACGCGAAATTTTTCCCCCATCCCCCTGTTAAAGAAATGGGTGAAGAAGATGGCAATTATTCATGCTCAGCCTTGCGGGCTGTGGATTTCGGCGCCGGCGCCAGAGGCCAACCGGATTGCAAAGCGCATGTGGACCTATTTTCTATGGGAAGAAAGGGTGCTCGCCATAAAAAGGTTCTTCAAATTCGCGGCAAGAAAAGACCGCAAAGCTCAAGAGGAGAACATTATTCTTTTCATAACAAGTCTTCAATTTGCCAAAGGCATTGCCGTACAGTATGCTCGGGTGATGCTCACTAATTTAGTTTCTGGGCAAACTTTGCTGAAAATTTTCCAGCCTGGTTTCAGAAAAAAGAAGCTATGAATCCTATAAAACAAACGTGGTTAATGATAAGATGTGAGCTGGTCATGGCCAGAGAAGCGCCACTACTTGAAATGGGGCTGGATGGCCCAAAACCTCTGCTGGTGATTGTTGGCCGCTGCGGCCGAAGGGTGGATTTCCAAAGGGAAGCTATTTATGAATTAAGCCGTGTATGGCTATTGGGTGCTCCTGGAAGCGCTTTCCAATCTACAGTAACTGCGTTGGGGCCATGGGGGTTAAGAAAAGCCAGCCGTCATCCAGTGGGGGGGTGGCAAAGGCGGGGCGCAGTTCCCAAAGACAAAAGTGAAAATAAAAAGCCAACGACCTAAACAAGAAAAAGCGTAGAAAATGTTCTCCGAACGGCATGGCTGTGCGTTGGATGGAAAAAGATGGGCCTTGCCAACGCAGCAGCGGCAGCGGTCGGATGCGGCCCTGGCCCCTCAATGGCCAGCGCCCCTTCGAAAACCTTTGGGTTCAGCTGAATTCTCTTGGGGTGCGCGGGGTCACCTCTACGTCATTTGGCCCCGATGCCGATAAGCCGGCGCAGTTGGTCTCGCGGGTGTGGGGGGATTGGGGAAAAGAGCAGTAATGGCGTCGCTTTTGTGGGGTGGGGGGGGGTTAAATCAAAAATCGCTTTTCAATGTCGCAACGTTCTTGGGCCATTGAATCGCACCAGGGTGGCCGCGCGCAGTGGGGGAAAACATCTGTCCTTTGCGAAAATTCATCGTATAAACTATTTTTATTCATTGGGTTGGGCGGCGGCTGAACCCAATAGCCCGGGATGCTTTTGAAAGGGTACAGAATTCGATTTGCCAACCTGTTGCGCTGGCGGAAAATAAAGGGCGGCCCAACGTGAGAATTGCAAACGGCGGTGCGAGGCCCACGCAGCAGGTAGATGCTATTCCCAAACCCTCGCCGCGATCAGCCCGAGGGTTTGGCCGTAGTTTTAGATCTGGTCGAAAACAAATGGCCAGGGCAGGGGTAAGGCTTTTCCGTATGACCGAATGCCCCCAAAATGTTAGCAAAAACTGCGGGGCCAAGGTTCCGCTGCGTCGCGTTTTTAGGCGCCTGGGTCTTCTGTGCGGCGAGGCCGCGGCCTTCTGGCTTAATCGCTTGCTTCGTTCAGATTGCTCCGCCAGGGAATGCGCATTTGGGCTTCCGGTGTGGGGCGGGGGTGGCCAAACGCCTGCGGGTTAAACGCCCTCCAAAAGGGCAGAAATGCGGCCAGAGATGGAATACACCATTACAAAGGTCTTGGCGGAGGACCCTGGGAATGTAAGGCCGAAACGTTTGCAACTCGTAGACTAAGGGTTTGAGCTTGAATTTATAACATTCGAATTGGCGACCTGGAGGAAAATTTAACGTATGGACACTCAAAATAACACAGAACATGAAAAGATATTGGATTACAGTCTGGGAAAAGAAATTCGAACTAGGAATTGTTAATTCAACAGTGCCCTATTGGACTAAAAGGCACACCCCTTGTTATCAAGCCACAAAAAAGCCGCGGAAACTAAGCGAAAACCCACCTTTCCAGATGCCAACGATCGAGCGAGGGAAAGGGCAGTCTTGCCTAATGCAGTTTTTGGGGAAAAAGGGATAAAATACTTGACCATACCTTTATCATCATAAATATTCTTGCGAAGCGTAAAATTTGCATGTCCTGCGCTTTTTGGGGTCGGCTTCCCCGCCAGCTCATTGCTTTTAGGAGCTCGCTGGGTTGGCTTTTGCGACTCTGCGAGCTGCGGGCGCAGGTCTGCCAATTCGTTGTGCATCTCGTGAGGCTGGGCCTGGGCTGTTTCTTGCGCTTGAATGGCTTCGTCAGTTGGTTGGGCTTTTGTGCCGTTGCGCAGGTGTTGCGCGAACCGCCCTCGCATAGTAAGTGCCCGTCGTTTCTTGCTCAAAGCAGGTGGCCCCCGTTAAAGGCGCGCAAAACAAAAAACCAGGGATCGGGTAGCATGGCAAGCGCCAATAAAGAGCTGCAGGGCTTGTGGTGTCGTCGGTTTGTTTTGGCCCGCCCCTGCCGCGAGAGCCCCGCCCCAAACGACGAGAGCGGCGCGCGCTATAGCCCAAGCGCGGGGTGGACTTGCGCCGGGCTGCAAAAAAATGTATATATGGCCGTTCTCTTCGCAAATTCCGTAAATGCCCGCGGGGCGGTTCCCTATAACGCGCCCGCGTGGGGGCGCCGCTCAGGCAAACCGGTTTCCAAAACCCGTTTCAAAAAGAATTTTTCCTCTACAGGGCCCCCCGCCTTTCCCCGGGCCGGGGGAGGGAGCCGGCTTTCCCCGGCTCTTCAGGGCGGGGAGGCGGGCGCCACGGTGTTTTTTTTTTTGCACCGCCCAAAGCGGAGAAAATTCCAGGGTGGCATTTCGGGGCCTGCAGCGGCCAAAGCACCACCCGTGGTGGGCCGGGCTTCGTTGGGAAAAAGCCGTTCGGGCCGGGGCGCCTTTGCATTCGCATCGGGGGCCATCCGGGGGGAAAGGCGCGCGTGGG